ATTCTGTTACTCAAATTGAGCATAGCCAATGGGTAGCACATTTTTTTAGGCAAAATGAAGAGCATTTGATAAGTGGTCTAGTTTAGAAGTGCTCAGGGTAAATGTGGTGAAGTAAGTGGGTGACGGGTCATGAAGGTGACATGGGGCTGGGTTGTAGACAGATGTTTATACTCCCTGGGGTAAGGAATATCAGAAGATCCTTGAAGATGTGACATAATCCGAGATTTGGGAGGGCGAATTCGATAATGCTCTCCAACATGGGGTGGATTGCCATGATCAGAAATTAGAGGGGAGGTGTCAGTTTTGAGGCAAATATCTCATTTAGGAAATAATAAACTCAGATTTTAGTAGATTATACCAATATTCTCAGAACCTTAGAAAAGATCTAGTCCCTGTGGCTTCGATAAAAGCTTTTTCACTTCAATTTCAAGTTACCAAGTTTCTTAATTAGAAAAACCCACTGTTATTTGTTGTTTTCACGAGATTCTCTTGGGCAAATTTTTTACTTCGGTAAACAGAGTTCACACCAGGTGATGATGTCAAGGTTTGGAAGGAATTTCATATGTGTGGGAAGAAATTGTGCACAGTTGCTCAATCCAACTACCTTTCAGGCCATTTTAATTTCTTTTGGAAATGCCTATCTCTGAGTTTTCAAAACTGCCTCTTCCTGTGAATATATGAGCTTTCCCCTTTGGTCTGATATTACAGCTAAGCTTTGCAGAATTTTATTAAAAAATACAGGAAAGTCAGCAAAATAGTGTTCCATTGCTTCTGTTAATGCCAATATTATATACACACTTAGAATTATTTTAGTCTCAGAACATTGGAGTTTAGCTGTATCATTAGACAATTATCTATGGCAAGATTAAAAATCTCAGTCTTTTTAGTGTGATGATACAATTTAGTGCTCAAAATGGTCCTGGATGCCAGTAATTACAACAAGATCAATAGTTCTACTTAGCTTACTTTGGAAATGACATGGACTTTATTCATGGAAACTATTTGCTACATCTTCATGGTGTCAGAACGAATGGTCTCTTCTGTATAAAAGTCAATTAAATTTTATTTGCATTAAGATAAGTGCAGCATTTACTGACTTGGCCACTTCTGCTTTTCTAGCAGTTGTTTGGTCCACACGCATCCTTGACTTTTCTTAGTAGGATTAAATAATTTTGTAAATGCAGCATATCAAGTATAAGTAGTTCTTTACCTGATACAGTGGTCTGAACATTTAAGTACACTTAGATTTTTGTTTACTGTTTTTGATGATTGAAACTGAAAACCTCAAAGATAAAGAATAAGAGCAACAGCTATCATTTATTGAGCAACTAATATGTACAGGTACTATGCTGGATCCTTTTTTTCTATAAAACTAATTTATTCCTCATTATAATCTTACGAGTATATATTATGCCTGGAAGAAAACTAAGCATCAGAGAGGCTAAATAATAGAGTAAGAAGTCACCTAGGCTGCGGGAGAAAAGTTGGGATTTGAATCTACATTGCTCTAACTCCAAAGCTCAACGATCCTTCTTCACATGATATTGCTTCCCATAATAGTATCATTGAAAACCTCAGCAATCCTATTTTATTATAAAAAAAATACAAAGACTTAGTGTAGTGTAAATCTTCTCTTTTTATTTGTAAGATGAATCACAGCATGTCAAGGAGAAGCTAAATGTAATGTAAAGACGAGAGCAAAATGGAGCTTTAGCTCCCTCTTTTTTAAGCAGGTAATTCAAATCTCTATTTCTTGCTCTGACATTTCTCTGAAGCCACTGGAAATCTGTCCTTCAAGGGTTTTCTAGCTCCTCAAACTCAAAATGTCTCCAACTGAGTTCATTATCTTTACTCTCATGTTTCTTTATTTCTTGATTCCTCTCTGCCAGGGGCTCCATGGTCTTTGAGCTACCCAGGCTTAAATACTGGTGGCAGTTCTGAGTCCTTCCCCTTCCTTCCACCTGACATTTCTCAACTGCCAGGTCCTGTTGACTCCTCTTTCAAAACATCCCTTCCTGATTTCACCACTACTACTTTAGTGCAGCTGGTTTTATTCTTTCCTGAAATATATATATATATATATATAAAGATATATATATTTATAATTTTTAAAAATTATATATTTATAATATTTTTGAAGATTTCATTTTATTCATTTGTGAGAGAGGGACACAGAGATAGCAACAGAGAGCAGAAGCAAGCACGATCTGGGAGAAGAGGGAGAAGCAGGCTCCTCACTGAACAGGGAGCCCGACATGGGACTCGATCCCAGGACCCTGGGAGCATCACTTGAGCCAAAGGCAGACGCTTAACCGACTGAGCCACCCAGGCGTCCCTATATATACATATATATATATATTTTTTTTTTTTTTTACCTCAAATTAGTACATTGCTAGTTCCACAGCAATGTTTCTGAATATTTTATATATATATATAAAATATGGTTGTCAGATAAATTGCAGGCTTCCCAGTTATATTTGAATTTAATAGTTGCATGGGACCCACTTATAGTAAAAAGAAATGTTTACCTGAAATTCAAATTTGACTGGGCTTCCTGTGTTTTTATTAGCTAATTCTGGCAACCCTTTTATAGTTTTGAATATAAACTCTTTAATCATCTGACCAATAAATGAGCCCAGCCAATGGCTCCAATTTTATTCATCACTTCTGTTCATCCTACAGTCCATCCTTCAGTCCGATGGTGCTACTTACTGGTCCCACACATGAGTTATTCTACTGCGATAGACTGAATATCTGGGTTTCTCCCCAAATACATGTGTTGAAAGGTAGTCCCCAATGTGATGACGTTTGGAAGAGGGCCTGTGGGAGGTGATTAGGTCATGAGAGAGGAGCTAGAGGTTTGGGGAGGAAGTTACCCAGCTTTGACATTTGAGAAGCTTGCAGGAATAGTGAAGATCTGGGTGTTGTGGACATGGATTTTCATGATTACCAAGCCTGTACTTTATGTCCCTTCCTTGTGTACCTTGGTCTATTAAACAGGGCTGTTTTGTGAAAACATCTGGCCTCAGTGATGTATTTTCATTCATTTTCTATCAGTTGATATTGAATATTCTGGCAAGTGTCAGGCCTATTGCTTCTTATTCCAACAGATAAATTGCATCATTCTGGTTGTTTCTGGTCTGACACAAATAATAAGTTGAAAGACAGCCCAGTTTAGCTCTTTGTAGACAAATTTTATACAGGTTCAAGATTCTTTAGCTCTGATTTATTAACTACTTTCAAGAACATATATGCAAGCCGTATGATGTTGGAAAAGCAATGCCTAGGAACATAATTCTGGGTTCTTTTAGCCCCATCAATATGTAAATCATCAAGTAGAATACAAATGCCCCACCAGCAAAATAGTCAGAATGACATTCCCACCGTTACATATGGATGAAGCCATGGCTGATAAATTCCTTCTCCAAATATGTTCTCTTGCTGCATTATTTATGGACTTTGAAAATGCAGGTTGACTCCTGCAGTAATTCTTTGGCACTATTCTCTTCCTAGTGGGATTTGTGAACTGTAACCTGATCCTTGGATGGAAAGCATTTATCCTCTCCTTGACAGTAGAATTGTTACTCTAGACCAGCAACGATTGCATTTTTTCTTTTTTTAAAATTTTGAGTCTTTACAACTGTAGAAGTTGAAAGGACAATTGAAGATTTCCGTGCTTTGGTTGCCTTTATCTATCTAAAAAAATATTTAATATGCTTCCACATGGTCCTTTTTAATTAAAATGGAAACTTGGGATTTTTAAGGCATGTTGCATTATCTGAACATTCAAATAAATATTCTCAGTATTATTTAGTTCAAGGTCTTTTTCCCCAAGTTTCCTTTTCTTTTCTTTCTTTTTTTTTTCATTCTATTAGAGCTATTAAAAGCATCCACAGGGACAGCAAAACTTGTTAAGCAAATCTAATGTAGAGTACAGATTTTTTTCAGGGAGCCACAAAAGGGAAAAGGCCTTTTTGCAACATGGACATGGAATTGCATAAAGTACTTCAAATAAGTGAAATATAGTTTTCAGGGCAGGAGGGATCATCTATAAAATATTCCAAAATTTCACTTGGGAATGAGTACTTTCTTTTTGCCTAAAATCTGAAAATTTTCTTATAATAACTATACAAATTAAAATAAACTCAGGGACTGAAAGACTATGCTCAAGCCAAAGAACTGTTTAATAAGCTGTGTAACAAACAGAGGTCGGGAGAGTAGAGGCACCAGAGGGCTAGGAAGAGAAACTGTCTTCCTTTTCTTCTTTTCAAAAATCTCTATCATTGAAGATTTTTGAGTTAAGCAGGTAAATCAAATCTCCATTGGCCCCAGCTTTTTAACGAGCTCTTGTGTTTCTTCATTCGATCTGCTCCTATCTGCCACTATGTTACATTGGAATGCTGCTTGTTAGTATCTGCCTGAATGCTTCTGATTTTTCTTCTTTTCCCTCTGAGGTCATCACCAAAACACAACTCTATAATATGCCCTTGAAACGTGCTGCCTTTTCTCTTTTCCACACAACTATTTCCTATACTTTTTTTTTTTTTTTGGTGTTTGTTTTCTTTGGTGGCTTTTTGAGCAGATGTGCTTGTTGGGAGAGTCTGCCTTTGTCTGAAGATCACCCTCATCTTCTTTGCTTAATGTGTTCTGAATGATTATGGAGAGATGTATTGAAACAGCCCATGAACTCAGCTGAGTGGCTTTGGGGAAGATGGAGCAGGTAAAATGGAAACAGCTATTTGGGCAGCAGGCGAATATGCAAAATTGTCAACATCCACCCACAGGCTGTATTACAAATCCATCAATTTTTATTACCCACTTATTTTTTAGTGCTACTGATATCTTATGTTGTGATCAAGGTTTTATGATATGAGCTAATTTTAGAACAAGTAAAAAGCATATGACTAGACTCCCTCAGCACATGGGGAATCATTTAATAAATGATAATGGAGCAGAATACCCATTTTGGATGAGTAAGCAGTCAATTCCACAAGAGCTACTTACTAAACAAGGACTCAGGTAATAGGGAGTTTGGGATTCTTATGGCAATTCTCCTCCAAGAAATTCCATTTATTCAGATGCTGAAGGACTATTCAAACATGGAACTGAACTTTTCTTTTCCAATATACTACTTTAAAAAAGTCAAGTCTTAGAAATATTGTATAACTCATTTTATATTTTGGGAACATTAATTTTCTGTAAGTCACGATAGTTGATCTTTCTGCATTGTCTACCTGATGTAAATGTATTTCTGTTTGTATTGCTGACTTCATTTTCTTCTTAATTGCCCCATTTGCACATCCTCCTGAATCAAAGTTTACCACTATATGATGCATAGTTGAAAACCCAGCTGCTGTTGCCATGGTTTAGCACTCAAGGGAACCATGGGAGTAATACATTCTTGGATCTCTAGAACAGTAATGTGTTCCCTGAGGATCATCTTTTCCTCAAATACTTGTTCTTTGGTGAATGAAAACTGAAAACTGTCATCACGAAGTCCTTCTTGAGATTCCCAATAACTCTTCTTTAGAACATAAACTCACTTCGAGATCACAGATGTAAGTTTTGTTTAGTTAACCTTCAGTAGCCCATACAAGACAAAACCAGCTCTAAGTTTATTTTTTATGACCTTATATTAAAAAGGGGATACAGGTTAGAGAATTTGGAAAATAGAAAGAGGCAAATAGAAGAAAATCATATCTGGCTCTATTGTTCAGAAAGAACCAATATTCCCATTTTGATTTATTTCCTTCCGCGTACACATACACAAATAGTATACAAACTATACTTTTTGATTTAAGAGTTGAGCATTTATCCATTTAATAGTAATTCTTAAAAAGGATCATTTTAAGAATTGCTTATTATGTATTATAAAGTTATATAAAATTTATTTCACTATTCTTACATTTATTTTTAAAATGTATTTTTTTGCTATTAGAAGTAACTGCACAATGCACACTACTATGTAACTGATTTTGGCTGATTATTTCCTTAAGATAGATTTCTGGTATGAAAATTAGAACACAAACACATATCTCCCCTCCCCCCATATATATTTTCAAGTGGTTTTTCAAAAAATATTTTAATAATTGACAAGCTATTTTCTTTCATTTGCCCAGAAAAAAATAATATCTTGTTTGAAACTGCTTGTCTTTGATTATTAGCAACATTGAACAGTCTTGATTTATTAGTCATTTCAAAAAGGGCATTTTCTGTTAGTGTAGCTTATGTTTTTAAAATACTGAAATACTGATCACAACTCTCAGGTCTTCATTTTAGGGCTATGCAAAAGAGTTCACATGCATTATGTTTCGTAGAAAAACTAAGCCTCTTATTTAAGCACAGCTATTTCTCTGATTCTAGAAGTCGGGTGAGATCACCCTTCTCATTAAAGGCATTTGTCAAATGCCGGTGCATATCCATGCTCAGTGCTAAACAAGCTCAAAAGAGGCAGTTTCCTCACTGGAAGCATTTGAGATGATGAATGTGAAAGCTTCAGAATGATGTTTACAAGGTAATTATTTGTCTACTTATTCTTATGTAATTGTCTTAAGAAACTTCAACAATAGAAAAACTGGAATTTGTAAAATAAATTACAACGCAATGACTTCCAAACTGGTGTCCTTCATTCTACTCTATGACCTAAGGCATTTAAATACCTGAAAGAAATAGAAAATGAAATTGTTTCGAGTCCTCTTTTGATCATTCGTGAAAAGATAAATATAAAACAGGAACCTATTAATATCAGAAAACACCAGGTATGGCTGAATTTTCTAGGTCCTAGACTTGATATATTCCTTGCCTCATAATCCCTGATTACTTATAAATGTAAACTTTAACAGTCTTTTAGTTTTTGTTTGTTTTCATTTATGGCATATGTACCCCTTTACTGTCTTTCATTTTTAAGTCACTTAGCTGTAATAACTTTTTCTTCTTTTGGATCACGCCTCTGTCTCCCAGCAGAGTAGTGCTCTGTGCTTGGTCACTGGTGACTGACTAACGAGCTACTCAAGGAAACCATGCGGGTAATTCCTTTTTGGTAGCAATTATATCACTGGCAGCTGTCAAATGGCAGAACCGAGAGTTTCTTAAGGAAAGGAAAGCAACAAGGAGACATTACGTTGTGAAACTCTTCTTATATGCTTTACTAGATATTTACCTACCTTACTGGGAAAGATCATGTTTCTGATCTTTGAATCCTCCAAATACTTGGAGGAAAGTGTAACTATAGATGCTACTTTTGTTGAGTTTTTTGACTGAGTCAGATGGATAACTTTTATCCAAGTTGATTTTTTCCTTTTCTGCAAGAGCTAACTGTGGTATTATCAGCAGTACCTATTCTCTCTCTCGTGTAGGAGCGTTTCTCTATGACTGCTTAGCCATGATTCAAGTCACCAGATACATTTAGAATGTCCTGTTGAGGAAAATTCCATAATTGGAATTCAACCCTAGAGAGCGCTAATAAGGAGCATGGGGAGGAGGGGCAGGGGTAGAGCAGATTAGGAGAGATGAACTAGTCTGGGAAGATTCCGGTGGCAATCTCATGTCTTTTCATCTCACCGTTTCCTTTTTCAAATTTGACATAGTCGTTTTCCTTTGGCATGGTGGTTATTATACTTTTTTTGGTCTCCCTTCGTTGGTGATTATTTAATAGCTTTTAAAATAAAAGCTACGTGAAATGACATGAAGCCAGTTTCATTAATAGAGGAATATTTATGCAGCTCAGGTCCCCAAAGACTGAATATTTGAATTTGTAAACTCCCTGTATTTTACTTTTCTCTCATGTACTTCTGCAGTTGAATGAGCAGAAGCATTATTGATGTTCAAATAAGGCTTTCCAGGCTACTAAGAGTAGATCTGTAAAATAAGAATGTTTCAGTTTTGCTCTTCAATATGGTAAGTAGATTTTTTTACATTTTATAAACTACTTGAGGACATGGAAGATTTTTTTTTTTTTTAATTGGAAAAGAAGATAAGATTCAGTGACTATTTACCCTCTCATTGCTCAGGCATAGTTCCCAGTCTCTGGTCTCGAACTCACACTTAAAGATACATCACTTTACACTTGATAGGTTGATCAGATTGAAAATCGCCAAGTGTTTCCTGATAAATGGGAGCAGTGGAAGAGCATATAGACAATGAATAAACTTTGGAAGAAGAAAGGTTTTCCATCATTAGTTTATCCCAAATGACACCCAGCCTACAATTTTTTGGATTCTGATTTTGAATTTTCAATATAATACTGGTCATGTTCAACTAAAAGATGATTACCAGATGGTGTTTATAATAAAATTCTCTGCCTACATGTGAAAGTAAATGTGTAGAACTGTACTACAATCCCACCATGAAGCTTCCTTTAATTCAGAGTCAAGGTCGGTAAAATAATCTGTGAGATTTAATAAGAGATCTAGCTATAGGTTCTTCAAATAGTACCACATAATTTTTCCTTTCTAAAAAGTAGGTTATTTGAGAACAGGCTATAGAGGGGACAACATGATTCTAGAATCCTGCCTATTCCCAACTTGCCTAGCCAGAGCCTCTCTATTCTTCCCCTAGATTTATTTTTTTTATTTTTTTGTTCTAAAGTTAAGATTTTATTTAGAAAAAAACTTTTAAAAAAGTATACATAATTTTTAAAAATTCTTTATAAATTCAATTTAGGTAACATACACTGTATATTTAGTTACCAGGGTAGAATTTAGCGATTCATCAGTTGCATTTAATACCCAGTGCTTATTACATCAAATGCCCTCCCTCCTTAATGCCCATCACCCAATTACCCCTTGCCCCCACCCACCTCCCCTCCAGCAACCTTCAGTTTGTTTCCTAGAGTTCAGCATCTCTTATGGTTTGCCTCCCTCTCTATTTTTTTTTAAAGATGTTATTTATTTATTTATTTGGAAGAGAGTGCACACACAAGCTGGGGGAGAGCACAGGGGGAGGAGGAGGGAGAGGGTGGGGAAAGAATCTCACTCAGTGTGGAGCCCATCGTGGGGCTTGATCCTACCACCCAGTGATCATAACCTGAGTTGAAACCAAGAGTCGGGTGCCTGACTGAGCCATCTAGGGGCCCCTAGTCTTCCCTTTAGATTTTTAATTTTAGAACCACTTTGCTTCTGCCATAAGCAGTGAAGAGCCCAACCAGGAAAGTGCTCCCTGTTTCTGTTCTCTCTTGATCCACATCTTTTTGAGCTTCATTTTCTTATTCTCATCTTTCCTGTCTTTTACACTGACTTCTGATGTTGGTCACTGCATTTAGGGAGCTGCTTAGGTGACTTTGTCTATTTTCTCACTTCTGTGGGCTCCTCTAGCACCACCGATTCTCCTGGACCCTGGGGAGGTATGAGAGTGCTCCTTCCCCTTCCCTATGCAGACCCATGTTGGGGTTGGAAGAGGGGGTAAGACCACCTCGGAAGAGAGCAGTCACACCATCCAGCAATGAGTGGAGTTGTCTACTGCAGTAGACAGATCAGCAGTGATCAGTGTCTTTGACCATGGAGGTAGCCAGGAAGGAGCTGGCTGAGGTAGGTTATTTCTGGGAAAGCTGTGGGGATGCAGGGCATCAATACTTTCAAGAGGAGAAAAACAGTCTATTCATCAGGAAGGGGGTCATCACAGCAGAATTAGCATCTTAGGAGTAAGGCCCTAGAGGGTAGATGAAATTGCGGACTACGGTCTTAGTGATAAGAGACGTGTCTGCTAGCGTGACTACCAGCTTTGCATCCATGAGGACATATGATTGGATCTTTCACGGGGTCATTGTGCCCAAAGGGGCCAGACTGTTTATGTGGATCCAGTAGGTAATATGCCAAAGTGATCTGTTACTTCCAGTTAGAAGAATTTAACTGTTTCCATTTCATTGGCCAGAATAATCCATTGGCCATACCTCCCTTGAAAAGGGCAGGGAGTTTCATCCTCCAAGTATCCAGCAGCAGAAGAGAACTGTTAGTGAACCTTGGTAATTTCTGACACATCTACTCTAATACCTGTGCAAATGAAATTTCTGGATGGATC